TATATTTTATTTATTTAGATTCAACTCTATATATAGTTAAACATCTACTAAAAATACATATATGGACTATGCTGTGTGCTTATTGTCTACATTCACTGTCTTAAAATCTTGATTGTAAAATGAAAAGTATTGCAGTTGATGTGGTTTATTTATTCATTCTCTTTGAATTTGTTGTTTTATGTCAGTTATTCTCATGTTGGGTAATTGGTTTTGGTTTCAAACAGACAGTAATTATGCGCAATAGCTATATTTGGTATATATAACATTTCTAATCTGGAGTGTGTTAGTACCAAAGTTTTGCTTTTTTTCATCAGCCAAAATAATTGGTTAATATATTGTATTCAAGAAATGTGCATCTTCTCTTTCACAAATATATCATTCTGTTGTAGGTAGATTATGAAGTGAAAATTACCACAAGCTTTCTATGTGTCAGAAAGCTTTAGCTGGTCTACCCTTTGATTGATCCAGGCTTTTCTTTGCTTAGGTAGTGAATCACCTAATAAAGATGTAGGCGTGCACGTCTTATTTGATACTGCTTGGGTACCAAAAGTCATGTCATTGGTCCAAATCATACATAGTCAAATTTTTTGCTTTTTATATCGAACATAATGGAATAGATTCATTCAGTAATTTTCATATTAAGTGTGACTCAGCGGTAGCGTAGGCATGAAAAATGAAATGCCAACTCTATTGTATATTTTATTGTATTTTACAATTTCTAACACTATTTCGGTCTTAGGCTTCTGCTGACGTTGATGAGTGTTCTTATCCAGTGGAGTTGTATGATATTCTTGACAAAAAAGTGCTGTTTAAAGTGACTGTCAAGAGCTCAAACATTAAAGTGCATCAAGAAATTTATAATGTTGTTAAAATCAGCAAGGACGATAACCTTATACAACAATATAGTCAATCTGCCCAAGATGATACATTCACTGTATGTGATCGATACTCAAATACTTCATAATACACTATTTTTTCTTTTGATTTTATATAAGGGAATATCAAGTTTAAATTAATTATGTTACTATTTTCTTAATAGGACCCTGATTTTGAGTGTCAACAACACACTGATGCAGACACAACTTTCAAGGTGACTAATTCAAACTTTGCCTGTATAGCTTCTTATCTACAATATGGTATTTAATATTAAATTTTTCCTTTGTAGGATCCAATGGCTGAAAATGTGCAAAACATCAAGAGACAATTCAAGGCACCGACTCTATACCTCAAAAAACAAAAAGGCCAATGCTTGTGCTTTCTCCTTTTGCTCGGTAGATGTTTTCCGGACTGCTTTCCTGGATGATTTGGTATCAGATCTACATAGTTTTCAACTGCTCTAATGTATTGATCTAATGTACAACTAAATTTTTGCACTAGCAAATCTGTTGATCAAGAATGATGGTTGCCAAACTCTACTCGAAGTTGCTCAAGCAAACGATTTTATTAATGTTGTTCGTACTATTGAGGTATAATATTGGGTGTTAGTCTCATGCTTTAATTACAGCAAGCTTATCATAACTCTTGCGCTTTTGTTGCGTGCAGATGCTTGAGGAAGCTGGCGCTGGACTAACTCTAAGGAGTCTGAGGTGCTGAGCGGAGGAATGGTTGTCGTTGTGCTAAGTTACCTCTGTTTGTATAAGTTTCATGCACTTTTTATATTACTGGTACATTTAGTCCTTGCATGTGTTTGTATTTGTGCTTCAAATTCGATACTCTTTTAGGCAAATTGCTAGACAGGTTTGGTTATATTTCTGTAATATTGCTGGAGTTAGATTAACAATGGTCATCTAAGACAAACTATCATGAATTGGTGGTTGGCTAAAGGAAGAAATGGAGTTTACTCTGTGTTAATCCAGTGTATTCCGACAGTGATTTGCTGGGAAATATGGTTGAACAGATGTGCAGCAAGGTTTGATAATAAACCCATGTCAGGGTGGCATATCATCAGACAGGTTTCAAACTATTTAACTTTAATCCTTAGATGTCAGTTTCCTAATCTACAACTTCCACAACTCTAGATTGACAAGTGTAAGTATGTGGAGAAGTTAGAACTTTCTATTCACTCTCAAGCTGTTAGATGGAGCAAACCAGATAGGGGCCGGGTAAAATTAAATGTTGATGGGTGCAGCAAAGATAATCCTAAATGGTAGAAACCAAACGTGTATGCCACATACTTAGTTTGGCTAAAAGAGTATAAGGCAACTGCAGCTCAAGTTTGCCATTGAAAATAATGTATTTATTCAAGTTAGTTTCTGGGTGAGATGATCAGTTTGTGTTTCTTGCTATGAGAGACCAACCCATTTTATGGTTGGAAATTATCTTCTCAAGTCTGCTTAAGTTCATGTGCTTAGGTGCAATTGATGGATGTATCGGATCGTAGAAATGACATTAGGTAGCCACTCTAAGGGGCTGCTATTTAAGAATTAGCCAGTGCATTCTGAATTCAATTTTTCGATCCATTATTTTTATTTTTCTTAACTTCGACTGAGTGTTTGCAAATTCATGTAACACATGATAGCTATCATTTGGTTCCAGCGCTTTTTAGCAGTTTGCATTAATACTTGCTTTTTGAATTTTTCCTTTGAATTGTTTTTTCACAGTGATGCTGCTGCAAATGAGAGTAAAAAGCCAGCACTAGCAGCAGTTGATGGTGTTTTTCTGTCAATTTGCTCCACATGTTATCTGCATTTTGTGATGAGCTAATTTTTTACGGAAAGGGTGCAGTGGCTATTTTTTAAGACATGAAGAAATTGAGTCCTTTTCCTTAGATTATCTACCCATAATTCTTCTCCAAAATAGAATAACGCAAGGCATCTGCCTTTCTCGATTTGCTGTGTTGTATATTGTTTGAAAGAAGTGTCAGTTACATTAACGCTATTTAATTCCAATTTTCCAAGCAAATCTTGGAAGAACATAATAAAAAATTACTGGATATAACAGCTGATCAAAGACCCTCAACATGTATACTTCATAAATTTCATAAAAATAGTTAAGAACCTTTTCTTAATAATCTGATCCAATTTGAAGAATTTGTTGCTTTCTACTATGTACAGAGTATTCCTTGCTATGATAAGTTTAGTTAAAACAAAATGCGCATCGCGCGGGTACTATACTAGTATAAATAAATGGCTAACTTTTGTAGTTCCATTCTTAGGTTCTCTAATCACATCGTCTAACTCCATTGACTTTGTATACCAATAACGACAAAGACAATCTTTTGATTTTTCGATTTAAGAAATCAATTAAATACTATGTATTATTTTGATAAAAATCTTCACAATCAACTTTTTTGAAAATTTGATATGATAATATCATCTAAAATTCTTCCAGAAGATCTAATCCAAGCCAAGTTGTAACTCCAAAAATTATTAATAATATTAAGTATTAGTCGGACCAAACAACTTAAAGTTAAAAGTTACGATATTTGTAAGAAAAATGATTTCCACCACAAATAAGAAAAATTATTTTCCGTCTTTTGATTGAAACATTTCGGCTTTTCTTAAATGTGCTATTCTTCTAAAAAAACGCCTTTCCATCGTACCAAACACATCCTATAACTTTCTTACTTTTCCCTCTTCTGTCCTTTTTAAATGGTGTGTTAAGGAGCCAGGGGTACCAACGAGGGTTGTGGTGGGGTGGTAAGTACTCCTTCATCCTTAACCAGGGGTCTCGAGTTCGAGCCCCTGGGTATGGAATCGCATTTGTTAGGGAGCGCTTTACCTCCAATGTGGGACTTTCCGGCGCGAATCCGGATTTAATCGGGTCCCGATATGAATATCGAACACCGGATGTGAAACCAAAAAAAAAAAGGAGCCAGGGGTGGTTTCTAGATGAAAGTGAGGGCAAATTAAGACAAATTATTGACTTGATTATAATTATAACCTTACTACTCCACTATTTAAATCTAATTTAAGAAAAATTCGTGAAATTAATTTGAGAGGACAAGAGGCTACACATTGAAAAGCATTACTCTTGGATAAAGAATTAATTAGTTTCTTCAAAAGAAAGCAGCACATAAATTGACTTTGTAGGAGTAGCCCCTTTTCGTTTAATTCTTAAATAGCAGAGACGGATCCTACATTTAAATTTTATGGGTTCAGATTTATAATTTTACCATATATCATCTAATTTAATGGTATTTTTTTTTGGAACTTTGATAATTGTTACCCCTGGACGATCTCATCCTAGGGAAGTGGCATGCACACGTGACGCGCTTGCCACATGAATTTTTCTATCCACATGGCATTTTTTAATAAATAAAGTATTTTTTTAATCTTTTTAAATGTATTAACTTTTTAGATCAAATTTTTGACAAAATTTGGCTAAAACTTCAATATTTAGATTGAATTTTCTACTTGGCTAAAACTAATGAAGTTTCAGTTAAACTTTTTACAATGTAGCCTGAAAAAGAAGTGATATACAGTTAAAATAAATATTCGTTGCATATAAAAAAATATAAAACGAAATACGCAATTTGAATTTAATTAATTCAGCTAAGATTTTAATTTAGATAAAAATTATGGAGTTCAAAGCAAGTATTTTTTTAATACAGATTTTACCCCAAAAAAATACAACAATTATAATAAATAGACATTTGCATCTAACGAAGAAATAAAAAAGAAATACACAAGTACATATTTTTCCAAAAAAACGGAATCAAAATTTAAATAATGGCACCAAATGATCCTATATATGCAAATTGCCCCAGTTTAATGGTCTTTTGGTTAAATGCATGCCCATATATATATATATATATATATATATATCAAAAGACCAATTCCAGCTTTTTGATTTTCAGTTTAATGCTAACTCTTTAGTTGTGTGACTATGTTTTTATTGAACCGAGAGTTTATCTAAAACAGTCTCTTTATCTTTGTAAGATAAATGTAAAATTTGCAGATAAATTATTATCCCCCTTAAACTTCACTTGTAAGATTATGTTGAGTTTGTTATTGCTAAACTCTTTAGTTGTTAATCGAGATTTTCCCTCTTACTTATAGCCTGTTTGGCGAAGCTTCTCCAAGGCCAAAATCACTTTTTTTTTCAAAAAAAGTATTTTTTTTCAAAGTTGAAGTATTTGGCCAAGCTTTTAGAAGGAAAAAAAAGTGCTTTTGAGTAGAAGCAGAAACAGTTTTGGAGAAGCAGAAAAAAAGTAGCTTCTTCTCAAAAGTACTTTTTTGAAAAACTCTTTTAAGAAAAATATACTTACAGCCGGTTTGGCCAAGCTTCTCCAATCCTAGAAGCACATTTTTTTTTCAAAAAAAAAATGCTTTTTTCAAAGTTGAAGTGTCAGTTTGGCCAAGCTTTTGGATGAAAAAAAAAGTGTTTTTGAGAAGAAGCAAAAGCAGTTTTGGAGAAGCAGAAAAAGTAGTTTCTCTCCATAAACACTTTTTTTGAAAAACACTTTTGAGAAAAATACACTTAGAAGGAGTTTTTAAAAGCTTGGCCAAACACTAATTGCTGCTCAGAAGTTTCCAATTAATTAGTCAAACACAAACTGCTTCTCACCAAAAGTACTTTTGAAAAAAATACTTTTAAAAAATACTTCTCAAAATAAGCTGATTTTAGAAGCTTAGCCAAACATGCTATTATATAATCGTAGAATCTATACGCAACACAAATCCAAATATAATCGGATTCCAACATAAATACTCAACACCGAACTAGAAACCAATAAAATAGAGTCATTGAGTCCGACCAAATAATATTGAAAGAAGTCTTGGGGTCAATTTTTCATAACACGTGTTTCAAAGAAAACGTGTACCCTTTTTGTTTTTGTTTTTTCTTTTCCAAAGCATCTCTGATGACTCAAGAATTTTGCCTCAAGAAAACACACGTAGATGTTTTTGTTCTTGGAAAAGAAGTTTCTATAAATGTAATGACTTGTACTACTAATTCAATTTTAATCCATCGAGCAATTCAATTATTTCAATACTGAAATATACATCAATGTAGACATTTCAACCTTGCTAGACCATTCAAATTAAATTCCATATTTAATTGATTAACTAACACTATCTTGGTCTTGAACTATTAGAGCGTTATAAATATTGGTAGTTACGGGAAAAGATTACACTATTATCGGAATGATTAGTCCATCAGAAAGAAAAAGAGGTGCGAAATAAAATAAAAAAGGAATATATAGTGATAATTTGATTCTTCGTCCCTAAATATGAGAGAAAAACGTGTGTAATTCTTCTTTTTGAAAAAAACTTTACAAAAGATTGAATTTTTTAGAGAATCACTTTTGGGGTAAAGTGCTATAAAAAAAAACTCAATTTTCAGGCATAAACTCGACACCTCTAATTTAGAATGAAAGAATACTTATTATTCCACCACAACTTTTGAAAATCAAATGAGATCAACCAAGACTTTATCTTGATAAAGTCACTTTTATGTGGAAAATTTATAGCAACCTTTTACGTTTATTTTTTTCGTTCTTACTTTTCCTACCATCTTACTAACAATGTCCTTAATATTTGCACAACACTCATGAAGAAAGGTAAAATCGTCTTTTCGTATTAATTTTAATAGAGTAATGACTATTTTTGCTCAACATTAAAACTACTGGATAAAAACTAAATATCTATCTATATTATTATAAAGCACGAATAATTTATGCTAAATGTTGAACGACTAAAATATCCCCGAAATATTGATCGACTTTTATGCCCTTAAATATTTGTAGAATTTAAGGATCTAATTGTAAATTACCTAATGATGAAATTTTTTTATATTTAAACTATACATACACTGACCCTAATTGTATTAGAAAGGTACGTCCATAATTGGTGTTATTACTTGTAAGCTTGTGTTTGTTTCTATTCATTTTGTGAGGACATTATCATATATCTATAAGAATTATCTTATGAAATATAAAGTACGAAAAATATAAATTTTTGATTTTCCATTGGTGTTCAAATTTTAAGGTATTCAAGGGAACAATTTCTATTATATGATCTTTAATTATATATGATTTGGCGAAAGGTCTATTGCTTAATTTGGTCCAAGTTTCAAACATAACCAACTGATTATGCGTTAAGGTATTCTCTCTCTACTTGAGAAATTATCTTTCTTTTGCACTTTTTATGTTATTTATCTAATTAATGATCAAAATTATAGTGTATGTCCCTTTCTTTTTATAGTATTTCTTGCGCATAAAAGAAGAAAGCCTTAAATGGCGTGGGACTAAAATACTGTTGTTTCTAATAGTAAAGCTCATGTAATATTCTCTTTGCTATTAATTATATTATTTTTTCTTTGCTTTTTTATTTTACGGAAGATGAAAAAGTCCGCTTTAGTTTGCTTAATAATTCAGATATTTAGGGCACTCTATTTATTTTGACATATTTTTTTGTGTGCTTATTTTATTATGTAACATCTGTGTCCGGTGAAGTTCTCTCGCTATTCTCATCGAACCAGT